CACACGGTGAGCACCTGGGCCCGGCCCCGAGGGGACGTCCCCAGAGCCGACCCGGCCGCCGGTCGGGACAGACGGGCGGGCGCGTCCAGGGCCCGCGGAATAGGCAGCGCCGAAATGGCCGGCGGGGACCCCTGTCGTGGGCCGGGCGGTCTCAGGGCCTGGGGTATTGCCGTCCTCACCTCCGTCGGACTCCTCTGTTCCCAATCCCCAGATGCGCCCTTCCAGCTCAGAGGGTCAACCAGGTCCCACACCGTGGCGCAGGCGGGGGTCCCGCTTCCCCTGCCTTCCCCTCGCTGGGGAAGGCGCCGGCTGCCAGGCACTCCGTCTTGCTGCCCCAGTCAGCCGCCTGAGCCTCGTTGCGCACCTGACCCGCTCGTTGGCCCCTCCCCAAGGGGTGCACATGCAGTCCTGCGGAGACACCCCAGAGTCGTGGGGGCCTCGGCAGCCCTTCTTGTCCCCTTTGGAGGGCTCCAGCTCCCCAGGACTCGCCCAGTGGCATCCCTTCAACCTGGGTGTCCCTGGGAGGGGGCGAGTGGCCCTGGCACCCCACCTGGTCTGCTCTTCTGCGGGGCCCACACTTGTCACTTTGACCTGCAGGGAGGGTGGGTCACTGCCCTGCCCTGCTCTCACCTCTCCAGCGGCCTCCACTCCCACTTCTGGGCCGCGGGGTTATCTGTCCCCACCCTGAACTGACTGACCCCCTGACGTCTGGGCACCCGCATCTTCTGAGGACTGGCCCTGGCTGTCTCTCGGTCCTTCTGTGCTGGGGTATGAGGGTTGGCGGGGAGTCGCACCCCGGCAGGCTTCCAGGTCAGCCCCGCCCCACGCCCCATGGGGGAGGAAGCAGGAATCAGGCTCTGTCAACAGCCTTTGGCCCCTGATCCTGCCCCAGGGCCATGACCTTCCTGCTACTTGCTCTGGTTTCACAAAAACAGCTACCCCCCCCCCCCCCCCCCGCCAGCTCAGACCCTCTGAGGCTGGGAATCCTCAACCCCATCCATTCAGATCGCGGGGCAAGCAGGGGGTAACCATTGCAGCCTGGCCTGTTTGATGGGCTATCCACCCATTCTGGGGGCCCCTCCTCCAGCTCCAGGTCTGGGAGTCCCTCAGCTACCCCAGTGGAAATTGGTGGGACACTGGTGGGGCCCTGAGCACCTAGGAGTGGTGTGTTCGGCCAGGCTTGGGGCCAGGCAACTGCCTGCCCAGCAGGTGGGGGGTAGGCGGGGTGAAGACGGGGATGTGGTTGGGGGTGGGGGGGTGGGGGGTGCTGGGAAAGAGGGGACAGGAGATGAGCTGGGGGCTGGGGAACACCACCTGGGTTCCTAGCCCGGAGACCTCCAGGAGACCCCTGACTCTGACTCTCCACTTGAACCCCTGCCCACATGTCCAACACTGAGCTGATACTTGTGTTGGGATAGTCCAGGACCCACGGAGCGGGCCGCCTGGTCCCCGCAGGGCCACGCCCTACCGCACTGGCTCCAGCAAGGGTAATAAGGTGGAAAGCGGCGAGCTCAGGGGTGCAGACAGGGCTGTCTGATCAGAATCAGGAGGTAAAGCCCCTTGGGTGACCCCAGAGCTGGAGATAGCTGAGCCACCCCTCATTCTCCACCTGCCTACACCTTCTCTGCCAGAAGAGCCCTTCGTCCTGGGGCTCCTCTCCTGAACCCGCAGCCTGGGTGATTCCTCACCTGGCCCAGGGACTGGGGGCCAGTGACTGTTGGGTGAGGCCTCCACCAGGCCTGGCCTGCACCCATGACCAAGGGCCGGGTCAGGAGCCCCACAACAGGCTGTGATTGGGGTGCCCACCTCGGATCACTGAGCTCTCACCCTGCGTGGTAGTGTCTCAGGGTCCCCTTAGGGGTGAGGTAAGTTGAGCTGGCCCCACAAAGGCCCAACTGGACCCTGATGGGAGGAGACTGAAACCCTCCACTTGCCTTCATCTCGTACTGCCCCCCCTTACCCCTGGCCAGTCACTGTCCTCCAACCTACTGGTTGTCCGTCCTTCCATCCGTCCATCCCTTGCTCACCGCTTGCCAGGGTGGCCCAGAGAAGGGTCCATCCACAGGCCTAGAGGACTCACACAAGTCACTCCTAGAGGGCTCACACCCAGGCCCTAAAGGGCCCCTCCCTGCTGCCCCATGGAATTCAGTCGGAGTCAGAGAAAGCAAGAAAGGAGAATTGATAGGGCTCTGCTGCCCCAGATCTCCACTCAGACCTGGGCCAGACCCAAGGCAGCCCTCCCACCAGCACCACCAGGGCAGGGGTCCCGCCCCTGGGCCCCTGGCAGCCTACACTCATCGTCTCAAAGCAGTGTGCTGCCAACCACCTGCGCGACGTGCCCTGGGGGACCCAGGAAGCCAGGCCTGAGCCTTGCATGGGGCCCAGAGGGTGCACCTAGATACTCCGGTCCTCGGAATGGGGCCTGTGTGTGACAGGGACCATCCTGAGCATGTGCCCGCACTCCTGGTCCCCTGGGCAAGGCTGGGAACTGGCCTGGGCCACCTCGATAACCACGTTGCGGTGATGGATGGCCCTGGCATCCCACCCTAGCTTGGCAAGCTGCCTTTCCCAGGGTCTAAGAATAGGTGAGGAGGACAGCAAAGGCCGAAGGGAGGAGGTGGGTCACTAGGGAGGCTGCTCCCCCCAGCAGGCAAGATGGTGAGAGCTGCACGCAGGGGTGGGGCTCCGGGGCTGTCAGAGCGGAGAGAGCATGAGCAAGCGAGCCGCAGGCCGTGGGAAACCCAGCACCACCCAGGGAGACACGAGGCCTCCAGGACTCTGGGCGGCACCTCCCAGCACAGGGCCAGACCCCAGCCCCATCACTGGCGAAGACAGACGACTTCTGGCGTCTTCTCTCCCAGCTCCCACTTCCTCAATAGGATCAAAGGCTCAGAGGGGCGGTCACAGCTGGGCCCAGCGGGACCTCCTCACTTGGGGGGGTCCCTCCACAGACCCTGCTGCTCTGACCGGAAGTCCCCAGAGGAGCGTGCGTGCCCACAAGGACCCCTCTGCCCCAGCTGTGTAGCCCCAGCCAGATGTGGCGGGTGGCCGCTCAGAGGCATGCCCCCCACCCGGCCACACTGCCCCCAGCTCCTGCTGCTGCTGCTGGCCTGCCAGGTGAGCGCTACGCCCACTCCCCATCCGGCCCGCGGCTGACATGGCTCTGTCTCACCTGTCCCTTCATCTCTCCCCCCAGCCTTGGGCCCCTTCTGCCCAGGTGATGGACTTCCTGTTCGAGAAGTGGAAGCTCTACGGTGACCAGTGTCTCTACAACCTGAGCCTGCTGCCCCCCCCCACTGGTGAGCCCCCAGGGGAGGGAGACGGGAGACGGGCCATCCCCGGGAGGGCTCAAGCAGGGACAGGGGCACCCTCTTATGTACAAGCTCTGAGGGTCACTTAGGGTGCAGCAAGAGATGAGGGTAGAAGTAGCTGCCAGGAGGCCGAGCCATGTCCGATCGAGGGAGGGGGCCTGTGCTGGGCAGAGGAAAGGAAGGGCTTTGGGCCACAGAGTTTGCGCTGGACCCTGGAAGGAAGCCAACAGATAGGGGTTCCGCCCCCAGAAAAGGAGGCACTGCAAGGGGGGCACTGAGAGGAGGGGCGAGCCCAGGTGGGTCTGGGGCCCTTTGGAGAGGTGAGGTGTGCAAGGGTAGGCGGCTGGTGGGCATCCAGGGAGGTCTGGGGGGCGACGGCATGCTGGGGCGCAGAGGATGAAGCCCAGGGGCTTCTCGGAGCAGCCCAGCCCTGCTGAGGGGCGCCTCCCGCCTGCCCTGCCTCACAGAGCTAGTCTGTAATCGAACCTTCGACAAGTACTCCTGTTGGCCGGACACCCCTCCCAACACCACGGCCAACATGTCCTGCCCCTGGTACTTGCCCTGGCACCACAAAGGTAAGCACAGAGGGGAAGTGGGGGGTGGCTGAGGGGGCCCAGGCTGGGGGTCAGGTGCTGACCGGAGCCCGGCCCTCCAGTGCAGCACCGCCTTGTCTTCAAGAAGTGTGGGCCTGATGGGCAGTGGGTGCGCGGGCCCCGCGGGCAGTCGTGGCGCGACGCTTCTCAGTGCCAGATGGACGAGAAGGAGATCGAGGTCCAGGTCAGCCCGCGGCAGGTGCAGCGGGAGCCGGGGGTTGGGGGACGGGGGCAGTGGCACCCCGGCCCTGACCAGCCACCGCACTTCATAGAAGGAGGCGGCCAAGATGTACAGCGGCTTCCAGGTGATGTACACAGTGGGGTACTCTCTGTCCCTGGGGGCCCTGCTCCTGGCCCTCGCTATCCTGCTGGGCCTCAGGTATGCCCACCCACCTGTGCACGCCCCCCTCCCCCCCCCCCCGCGGTGGGCAGGACGGCAGGCAGGCCCTGACTCCCCGTCCCCGCAGCAAGCTGCATTGCACGCGAAACTACATCCACGTGAACCTGTTCGCGTCCTTTGTGCTCAAGGCCGGCTCCGTGCTGGTCATCGACACGCTGCTCAGGACGCGCTACAGCCAGAAGATCGGTGACGACCTCAGCGTGAGCATCTGGCTGAGTGACGGGGTGAGCACCCACACCTGGCCTGCGGGCCCCCCGGCCCCAGGGCGGCAGGGGGCCATGCGGCCTGAGCTCATGCTGCGCCTGCGGCCAGGCCGTGGCCGGCTGCCGGGTGGCTGCCGTGTTCATGCAGTACGGCGTCGTGGCCAACTACTGCTGGCTGCTGGTGGAGGGTGTGTACCTGCACGGCCTGCTGGGCCTCGCCGCCTTCCCAGAGAGGAGCTTCTTCGTCCTCTACCTGGGCATCGGCTGGGGTGAGTAGGCTGGCGCAGTGGGGGGCAGGCTGGCTGGGGCCACCGGACCACAGCTGCCCCCTCCCCGCAGGCGCCCCCATGCTCTTTGTCATCCCCTGGGCCGTGGTCAAGTGTCTGTTTGAGAACATCCAGTGAGTATGAGCTGACCGGAGGGTGGACTTGAGGCAGCCAGGGGCTCACCCCTCCTGGGCACAAGGTGCTGGGTTGGGTCTATGGGGAGTAGCCGGACAGCACTGGGGGGGGGTGCGGGGGGCACCCTCCAGCCAGAGGTAGTGGTGGGTGGGGAAGCAAGACTGCCCCAGGGTGGGGGTCATTTATGACCATTTTCCTTCCTTTCCCAAGGCACTGATTAGATCCCCAGGATGTCAGGGGGGTGGGAGGCCGGGGGGCTGGCAGGACGTGAGCAGGCCCTGCCCTGCAGGTGCTGGACCAGCAACAACAACATGGGTTTCTGGTGGATCCTGCGCTTCCCTGTCTTCCTGGCGATCCTGGTGAGGAAATGAGGCACCTGCTGGCCCCACAGAGAGGGGTACAGAGGCTGGCGGGGCCTGCCTGCCAGTCCCCTCCTTCCTTGTTGGCCTGTGGGGCCTGAGGAGACAGATGACATCCTGCCTGAGCAGATGAGGAGGGAGGCCCTGGCACTCAGCCGAGACGCCAGCCAGTGTCCTGGGCCTCGGGCTCGGCTGCCCATCCCTGGCTGGGTGCCCAGCAGCCCCGGGGACATGGGAGCCAGGAGGGTCAAGTGGGGATCTGGGGGTTGCCCTGAGCTGTGCTCTCCACACACAGATCAACTTCTTCATCTTCATCCGCGTCCTTCTCATCCTCATGGCCAAGCTGCAAGCCCGCCAGATGCGCTACACCGACTACAAGTTCCGGTGGGTGCGGGCAGTGCACAGACCCAGAGACCCTGCAGGGGCCAGGGGGGCGGGGGCAGGACACCGGGGCCCCAGTGGGCAGGGTAGGCCCTGGCAGCTCAGGCTTCCACCCACAGGCTGGCGAAGTCCACACTGACCCTCATCCCCCTGCTGGGGGTCCACGAAGTGGTGTTCGCCTTCGTGACAGACGAGCATGCCCAAGGGACCCTGCGCTCTGCCAAGCTCTTCTTCGACCTCTTCCTCAGCTCCTTCCAGGTGCCGCCCTGCCCCCTATAGCCACCTGCCCCCCGCCCCCCCCGGCCTGGGTGCTGCCCTGACTGCCCCCTCTCTCCAGGGCCTGCTAGTGGCTGTTCTCTACTGTTTCCTCAATAAGGAGGTAGGTGGGGAGGTCCGGTCCAGGCGTGCAGCTGGGCTCCCTGGCCTCACCCATGCGGGGGGGTGAGCCCTTCATGTCCATCTGCATTTACTGGCTGCGGTCGCCATGATGCTGGGTGCTGCCCGCCCCGACGGCCAATCTTAGCCGGGTCCTCAGGGAGCACACGGTGAAGGGGGAGCCGGGGCGCCGAAGCCCCCGGTGTTCCATGCTGGAGCCCGCCTCGCTCTGCACCCAGGGCGCCTGGGAGTCCCTGGAGCCTGGGAGGCTGGGGACCCCGGACTGGCCCAACCCACCCGCGTCCGCCCCAGGTGCAGTCGGAGCTGCGACGGTGCTGGCATCGCTGGCGCGCGGGGGCCTCACTGCGGGAGCGACGCCCCGTCAGCGGCCCCCCCGGCGGCCCCCCCGGCGAGAAGCCGCTCCTGTGCGGGGGCGGCGGCAGCAACGGGGCCGCGCGGGGCCCCTCCGCACACCCCAACCTGGTCGGCAGCCTCCCCGCGTTGGCCGAGAACCCCTTCTAAGGCCCGGGGGGCCCCGGGCGCCCCGGCTGGGGCAGGACAACCCAGAACCCGATGCCCGACGGCGGCTGGAGGAGCGCCACGGGGCCTTCCCCGTCCACTGTCCGCGCGGCGCGGTGGTCTGGGGACGGCGGCTCCGTGCTGCGCCGCCGTTTAAGGACACGTGTAGTCCCCAACAATAAAGAGTTTGAGCAGTGCCTGCCTTGCACACCCCGGAGAGCTGAGCCGAAGGAGAGGCGCGGGCTGGGCCCAGCGCTGCTCCCTCTGGGAGCCCCCCTTTTACAGATGGATCGGGGCCAGAGCCCCGCAGAGGGTCGGATGGCATGCGCCGCGCCTGGCGGTGCGCCTCCCGCCGCCGCTGGAGCAGTTTCTGGCCCCCCTCCCACGCTGCCTTAGGTGCGGGTCCACACACCCTGCGCCAGAGTGGGTGGGCCCCCGCTGGCTCTGGCCCCCCCCGCGGCACAGGCACGCGAACGGGGTGGGTGGCGGCTGAGGGAAGCCACCAGCCCCTCGAGAGTACGGCGACGTCTCTGCCTCGGGCCCCGTCAGGGCATCGCCGGCCGACCCCCAACTGGAGACCTCTTCCTGGCCTCTACCCGATCTGGCTCTAGCCACAGCTTGCCGACCGCGGAGCAGATAACATGGGGAGCCGCCAACCCCCAAACTGAAATGACCCGAGTGACGGCAGCAGTTCTCCCAAGACCTCTGCGTGGTCCTCACGCGACCACTTAGCAGAGCGGCCCGACCCATGACACCCCACTCCAGCGTGTGGCAGGACAGCGGAGTGCAGCGGTGGGCACCCTGCGTGGCGGGCAGCGAGGGCTGGTGCCCACCAGGAAAGAGTAGAGGGTCCCCTATAGGAAGAGCCGGGCGGTGCACTGGGGTGGGGAACCCCACTGTTTGGGGACGCACCGTGAGGCCCACGCTGCCCTC